TCGTGTGGTTGATGAAATGAGTTCTAAGAACTGGCACCTACTGGCTCTTTCCTAAGTGACCTCCTTCGGATTCTCTACGTACGCATCGAGCAAAGTTCTTAGCCGAGAACTCTAACCGATCGTGATAACTGATTGAAGAGAATTGAACAGAGGCTTCCAAATGACAAGGTGAAATTCTTGTCGAAAGATTGAAGAGTACCGTGGTCTTCATGTCCCAAGAAATGCACATATGTGCTGAGAGTTCCCTACTACAGTGTCCGGGTGATGCCAGAATCCCTGCAAACTGTTCAAAAGAGGTTGTTCCTGTTCCTGTATGCGCTGTTTGGATTCTACAGAAGTAACTTCTTGTCGAGGTAACGGTCTGATGTCATCGACTGTCACTCTGGCGAAAGTTACTGTTGCTCGACGCGTGGTATCCCGAAGAGTCCTTGTTACACGGAAGTGCGGCATGTACAACAATTCTAGCCGAGAATCAACACTGGCCTTCATCTTTTGTCAGTAAGTAAGAGGATGCCTCCGAGCCTAGTCATCCTGATACCACGGATCTGTTCGGACTGGTGATGGTAGATGGGGTTCCGGCGCTGACCAAACACCGTACGGATATCTGCCTGTTGAGGCGTTTCAAGGGATGAGCTAATGGGTAAAACCGCAACAATTCAGTGAGAAAAAAACTCAGTTTTTCAAGGTCACCTGTATGACAGCACCTGCCAGATCGAACAGAACTTGAGTACAACCGAACTTCCCATCCTGTAGTAGAGGTTAGCCTGTGTTGAATAACGGAGAAGCAACGCAGAGCTGATTCATCCCTGTTTCACACACAAATGTGAATCGAATTCGCGGTCTTCTATAACCTACCCAAGGATCAGTTTCAATCCCTAAAAAGGGAGCTTCAGAAACATTCCGAAATGTCCTGAGGCCCAAAAGCTGGTGAAATCCCTCCGACCAGACGTATTTCGTCGCCCGCGTGGTGTCTAAGCCTGGCTTTCACCCACCACCCCATCGACCCCGGTAACAGCAAATCAAGATCGATACAAATTGTCAGCTGTCTTTGTCCGGTGGGGATGCGCACCATGGTTTGAATGTCTGCATGACCTTGAAGCTACAACTGACCAGTCACGACGTCGTCTAACGAGCGTTTGTCTGTGTGTGTGCGTGTGTGTGTATGCACGCGCTTCCTCGCTCATTTGCGCGTATGCACGCGTCTGTACGTGTGCATCCGCATGATGGTCCATGAGAGCGTTCGGAGGTGTGCATCTAATGCGTTGACGGAGCAGCGGCCGACTGCTTCTGGGACGACATGTGATCGTGGATGTCGAAGAGCGGCCCGCATGCCTTTCTGTTATACTGTTTGAGTAGAGTAAACTCCGACTCACCATATTATCAGGTTTTTCCCAATCGATAAACCGGTGATCTAACGTGACGGCAGTGTTCATAAACGACTAGGTATACCAGCGGCGCATTTGAAGCAGACGATGACTAGCTGAGAAGCCCACGAACAGACACGACCTTGTGAGCCAGTGATTTCGAGGTCTGGAAATGCAACAGATCGATATGAATTTCGCGCCTTTAGTAGTTCGAAATGGAAGAGGTACGGCCTGGTGAGAAGTTAGTTGCCGTTAGAGCTGCAACCCACCACGACGCTGTATAACAGCGAGAAGAGCTTAGCAATTAAACCAGTTTCTGAATTCGAGAAGAAACACTGAAGAGGTTGAACCCAGTGGGCAGAGTTGTGCCTTCCATTGCTCGTTGAGTTTGGGGCTTGAAGTGTGTTGGCTCCCATGAATTATGGTACCGTTTAGATTGTTGAAAGCAGGAAAAAGTGGTAGGACTCCTTATCTTCAGGGAACATTTCACTGATCAAATGTGTTACCGTTTTTTCTCTCGGGAAGGTAAACACTTGGGGTCGCAAGCACAAATTTCTCAAACCGGGTCCAACGGTCACTGACATTATCAATGTGGCTAGGATGAGGCTCCAGCAAACAACTGCGCCTCTAGAGAGACATGGCAATAGAATTGGGGCGAGCCCTGCATGCTGCTTGGTACTGACAGTCACGGTCGTGGACTGCAACAGCAACCTTATGAGTAACGCATCACAAAAATAGATATGGGATATTTTTGTTGAGTAATGTTCAGTCATTGATCTGCGAGGAACTCGCGTTTCCAAGCTGTGAGCTGTGTGTGTGTGCTGCGCGACCTCAGGCACATTCACTCCACGGCGCATGCACCTGCGAGATGAGACAAATATCAGGGTGCCTGGTCCTGATCTCTGACATCTGCATTTCAGGGGATGTCTCTCTAACTAACGGAACCATTGTCCATTTGTACGAACCGGGAGCGTTACAAGAGAGGTCAGATCCAATTTGGGTTCACATAGAACATAAGGTTGACGGAAACTCGGGGACTGCGCCTACCTGATGATCCCCAAGAAGGGCGAAAAAGGGTCGTGGGCTGTCGAAAAGTTAGGTCTCATGTTTGGGCAGTTAGCTAATCTCCGCTAAACCTCTAATTGGTCCCGGTTGTTTGTTCTTATTACTTGGCATGACTTTGGAAACCAGTAAATTCGCCCTCTACACCCCGCTGAGATGCCCTCAAATAGTCTTCTGAGATTGTCCTATTCATCGCCTTCTCGTGGTGAGGACAAATGAGAATGTCCGGGTCGATAATGAAGGTTGACAGTTCATTGGTAATCCGGCTAGGGGAGTCTACCATACCTTGATTTTCAATCGGCTGCGATGATGGCAACTATGAGGAAACGGGCAGATCAGGTCGATTCTGGTTCAACGGTCAGGATAGAAGACCTTCCCAACAGCTCTCCTCATACTAATACGTTGCAGTTCGCACGCAAATATCAAAGGTACACCCTCGAACAAAAGCTGGGTGGCTCTAAGGGCGCAGCCCTTAGCAACCCTCCAAGAAATTTTGAACTCTCTTAACAGCTACTCGTTTTCAAGCTACCATATCCCTGATAAGCGACGCACCTTCTACTGTGGCTGGAATAGTCAATCTGGGAAATTAAATCTTGGGAAACTCGTTTGGGATGGAGGGATCCCCTTGTATACTGCAAACCAAGCCACTCCAATGTGAGGTCACCATGGTAATGCGGTCGATGTTACCCGTTCATCTGAATTCTGGATATCTGGACGAGGTTTCAGTACATTTCAAGCTCCCGTGACAGATTTGTCCCACTGGCACAATGATCTACAAGACACTTCCGGTCATGTAGTCTTCGCTTTCATGATCAGAAGGCGCGGTTGTCAATCGAAACAACTCGTTCTTGAATTACACCGACAAGGTTTAAAAGCATCCCGTTCACATCCACGAGCTTAGTAATATACAACGGACTCTACGTTCTGATTGGTGATTAGGACACGCTCTAAAGCAGCTGTTGAAAGAACACCATGTTGGTAGCTGGCTGGAATGTCCTCATCAGACGGTGCGACACCTCAAGGCACCATATTCTTAGATAATACTGTGAAAACTGCGACGAGCTTGTTAAGTTGGCCGACTTCAGTGCCTGGGTAGGATCTAGAGTGACCCCAAGCTGCCTTTCCTTCAGAGGAATGGAAGCAGTGGGCCAAAGACAAATAAGGTCACCCGCTCAGCTTGAGCGAATGCTGACAACTCGTCCGAACACTCATCCTGATAGGAACTACAAAATCACCCCGGGGCTCGGAGATTCGAAGCACGTCCAGTGTTGCCTCTGTGGTGTCAATACCCAACAGTCTCTCATAGTAAATAGGTGCTAGTGTAACGGTGATACTACTGGTGGGGAGGCATGCGAGTAGTATGCTTTCTTCTTATAAATTCGCTTTGCATCTCTTGAAAAGGGAGATCTGTTGCGGAATTTGTGGAGTCACTTGCTTGGATTTGAGCTACAGTCAATGAATATTGGGGAAGGTTCAGAAAGACGCGTTCAAGAGAAGATGGGTGTTCAGTTTTGTAAACAAGATGCAAATGAGAGTTTTGCTTCCCTGTCCAATAGTCTGTAACCGGTCAGGTGGCATTTTCTAATAAATAGCTCCGCAGTGAAGACCCTCTTTTTTCACTAGCAGCCACTCAAGAATAGCGTCATGTCGAGGGGAAGACTGGATCTCGGAAAGCACCGTACGGCTATTCAAGCGAGGTTAATAAGTTTTGAGGGTGGCAGACGCATTGAACCACTGTACATTCCGTTGCCAGGCCACACCGTCCACTAGGAACAATCTAAATCGCCGGATCAATATTCCATTTGAATCCATTTCACTTTCTGCAAAAATATTTCAGAAATGGCTGCCAACTCGGGCCCCCCAATGCCCTGTGAAATTGCTTCCATCAGCAAGGGAAACTCTCCGATGGACAGACCATTTTAAGTGGTCATTCGCAGGAGTCTCCAGCCACCACTGAGTCACCTACTTGGTGGCACAACTCTGAATGTGGCCCTCCAACGAAAGAAGAACTATTCGAAGTCTCCGGTGTGCTAAAAAGACTAAAACCTTCGGTGGAAGCGATATGCGACCCGTCTCATGCCTCTCAATGAGCTGTTCAGTCAAGTCTGGGATAACGAACTGTGCTCATCTGTCTGGAGTGTCTACATTCTTTTAGGTTCTCGCAAAAGGGCTTATAAATCTCAACTGAAGCGCTCTTCTTGGATATTTTTCAACCGACTGTGATGCACAAGAAGGGCTGTCATTATTCAGCGACCCCATGAGTAGTATGTTCCGTCGTGAATATTTACAGCGATATCTCGAATATCGTACCATCTGAAATCTGAGGCGGCCTTTATTCAGTACATTCAATTGAAGAATGTCATAAAAATTGAGGGGCAATGCAGTTCGACCATGGGACTCCTTGAAACGAAGACGAAACTATAGTATCGAATGACTACTGCCCTGATGACGATCTATGAGTGTTCATGCGTGATACTGCGGTCGACTTTACACTGTCTCTGAGACGAGAAGTTTACCGAAGACACTCCAGAATGCGTCATTAAAAAGAACGAGAAGCCGAAACGGGTGTAGAGAACGTCTTTCAGACAACCGGTGCGGTTTGCTTTGGCTCAAACTTATATACATTCAGTAAAACTTATGCTCAGTGAGGAACCGTTTTAAAGCATTGTCTGCGAACCACTTCTGTGAGCCCGAGAATGTTTCGTACAAGTCGTCTGGGACTTGGAACGTCACCTCAGAGGAGAGTACACCCCACTCTGGGAGGGACTGAAGTACCCCTTTCCGTGGTGGCCTCAATTCTGGAGGGATTCATTTCCGTTTTATGGAATTGTTTTAGATGAGTAGAACTAGGTCTGTTTGGAAAGATGTGCAAAGATGAATGACTTGGAGATCAGAGATAAAACTGATAACTACTCGTTTGTTTGCTGTCCTGTTTATCTTTAGGCGGCTTCAGTTGGTATGATATTCGATAGATCGCAGTGCGCTCTATAGAGGTGACCCACCACTCATAAGGTTGTTGCAAATTCAGCTGTAAGAGAAGGTGATGAACGAGAGATTCAGTTGAGACTCAGGTGTGAATCTTCCACGTGCAGGGGGAACGATGAGATGCCAATCCCGACAAAGTGACTCACTTTGCTCAAAAGACAATTTCATCCTCGCCCCCATAACATGCTTCTTTCTATCTGTTTAAAAAGTAATTGGGGTGAGGGTGTAATACACTACTCATAAAGTTGCTGAAAACTCTTCGACAACCCACGACCGGTTATGCCCTTCCTGGGGCTCATAAGGTGGGCGCATTTATTTTGATGAGGTGGGGCTGGATCTCGGCAAACGTGGTCTCAAGACCAGGCGTATTAAACAGCCTTTTTCGCTTTTCGCGCTTGTCTACTTCACTGAGTCAATAATCCAAGTGATGATCAAGGTGGAGCAGTAGATCCTCAGGTGATCATCGAGCCAGCGGGGTATCATCACAACCGAGTGTGACCACAAAAATATGACGAAATGAGTGTCAGAATCGACAACCTCAGCAAATGCCAACCAGAGGACCAAGATTAAAGGTAACATGGTGTCGAGATGAAAACGTCTTTGATATACAAGGCGGGTGATAAAATGAACCGAACAGTAAAGAAGCGAATACAAATTCCATATAAAAACGGACCAGAATGCGGGTGAAAGGAAGAAGGCCTTCGCTGTGGAGTTATTTATTAGAAAATGCCAACTGAACAGTTACAGACTGTTGGACAGAGGAGCAAAGCTCTCGTATGCATCTTGTTTATAAAAACGGAATATCCGTTTTCTTCTCGGAGCAATCTTTCTGAACTTTTCTGGATACCCATTGGCTATCACTCAAATAAATACTTCAAAGCAATTCCCAGATTCCGCAATAAATATCATTTTTCAATTGACGCAAAATGGATTTATGAGAAGACCACATACCACTCGCAGACTTCATCAGTAGAATCCACCGTTACACCAGTGGACGTCAGGATTTCTCCAAATCCATTCATTAGCATCGGCATGTAAAAAATAAACGGGAAGTCTTGCATGATCGGTCACCGTTACACCGGTAGTATTGCGTCAGTAAGTGAGGATGTAGTAAACCAG